CCTGCTCCGCGCACGTTCCGTCACACGGGACTTCACCGCACCGGGCGGCCAATCTGAGAGCGGCTGCCCTGCCACGAAGCCCCGCCCCTTCCCCGCCCAACCTGTCTCACGCGGCCAATGGCGTGCGCGAGCGGCCTTCGATTAACCGAGCCCTGCCCCTCCGCTCGCGGCCAATAGTGTGCGCCGCCAGAACCTGGCCACGCCCCTCCCCTCTGCCTGCAGCCAATGGCGTACGCGCGCCGTCCCTCGGCCCGCACCGGCGGAGGGCGCGGGGCAGAACCACCCCGAGTACCTCCCTGCGGGGCCCTGGCTCCCACAGCGACAGGAGGGCAGACACGCAGTGATGCGGGGAGACAGCGCAGAGACGTTTATTAGCAACAAAAAGGTCTGCCGAGGCCGCATACCGATACAGAAAAAGGTTTGCTATAAAGATGTCATTTTTATAGGAAGTAGAAATAGGGTTGAGGCCCCTGAGACTGGCCTGGAGGAGGCACGGCAGCGAGTGCTTCCTCTTGGCTGGCCAGGTGTGATGTACCCCGAGTTCTGTTCCCACGGGACAGCGTGGCTGCCACCTCCAGGACAGACTGGATGGGCCACTCGTCAGCACCCAGGCCCCCGGTGGGGGCGCAGGCGGGGAAGCGCAGCAGTGCAAGGGGGCTCCCCACCAGGACAAATGGCTAAGCGTGTCACCGTGACAATGTCACCCCAGAGCATTCTCACTGGACCTGCGGGGCATTCCCGGCGTGCTGGGTGCCACCAGCCCCTGGATCCGAGGTCCAGCCATCTGCAAAGTGCCAACTGCTGTTCTCAGTCGAGCACCAGGTTATGTCACTCTCTTCCTTTTTGTGCCTTTGGCGCAGCCCCTGCCAAACCAGCCACCTAGGATGGGGGCTGAGCTGAGTGGTGCGCCCTGGTCTCCAGGCGAGGGCTCCTCTCGACTTCTGCGCAGCGACTTCCGACTGTGGCTGCCTTCTTCACCGGCCCGCAGGGGGGTTGCCAGGGAGAAGATGGGGTCCTGCCACCTGCCGGCCGAAAGGGGAAGCGGGGTCAGTGTGACCGGGAGCCGCCGTCACCGCCTGCCCAGGACAGGAACGCTGACTGAGTGACCCTGCTCCCGCCCTGTCTGAGCCGTGGCAGGCTTTGCATGGAGGTAGCCCCCCTGTCCTGAGCCGCAAGAGGGGGAAGCTCCCCCCTCGCTCCGCCTCGGCAGAGCGTGTCCTCGGCGGCTACGGCGGCACGGGCAGGTGGAGGCGGTCGTCCCAGCAGGGATGAGGCACTAGCAGCTCTGGGCCCCACCTCTCACTCGCACGGCCAGGGGCAGGGGGACCGGACCCTCTCCCCCTTCCCAGACGGTGAGGCTTGGCAGGTGGGAAGGCCAGCTGACTAGGGAGGTGTGGCCTACGGGCTCCCGGGTGAGGTCATGTGTCTGAGATGTAGAACCACATAGTATAAACTTAAGATACAGATAAGCACTGATAAGGAAAATGAGCTAAGTTAATGTAAAAAAAAAAAGTACAGTACACGGTAGGCCCACATTACAGAACACCACAAACATAACATACAAGAATTGCCAGGCCCAGAAGGTGAAGGGATCCTTAATTCTTGAACCCTTTGATTAAAAGAAGTTACTGATTTCCCCTATAAGACCCTGAAAATTCACAGAGAAAGAAAGTGTAAACTTTTTACTCAACACATACACCAGGTCTAAATTATCACAAGTTCTGCATTAAGGAACAGTTTCTTTAAGCTTCCCCAAGTCTGCCAGCTCCCCAAACCGAGTGCACGAGTCTGTTGGACTAGGATTGCCGAGAGCACGTCCCTTCGGGGGCCTCCCCTCCAGGCTGTCTGAGGTAAAGGGGGAACGTCCAGACACACACGGCCGACTCCCTCTCCCACAGGGAGTCCCATCAGCCAGGGACCTTGGCTGGCCGCTGCAGGCCACCACCTGCAGTCACACCTCAGATACTGCGTGCAACACCTCAGAGCTTCTTCTAGGCTCAGCTCGAGAGCAGACAGACACGTCCCATCCACACAGGGGCAGGAGGGGGGCATGCGCCTGCACCCCCTTACCTGCTGTAGGGGGGGATCTCCAGGCCCAGCTCGTCCATCAGGAGCTGCATGACGTCATCACACTTCCCGTGGAGCTTCAGGGCAGCCCAGTCATCCTTTGGGGTCCACTGGGGACAGGGGAAGGCCAGTGAGGTCAGCAGCTCAGTCCTCCAATGCCCGTGGCCTGGGCCTACTCGGCTAGCCCCCCAAGGTGCGTGAGTGCAGGGCGGGGCATCCCAGGAGTGAAGGAGGTGCCTCTGGGCAGCAAGTTACCTGCAAGTTCACAATGTAGAGCTTGGGCCGCCGGCTGGGGGGCTTGGTCATGCACCAGAGGCATGGGTACTTCTTTAGAACCTGTGCGGACGGACGGAGGGACAGACAGACCACACACACACCAGGGAACAAGCTACAGGAAGCTGGGCTCCATGCCGCGCTGGCCAGCTGCCAGCAGGTTCACTCCCTGCCCACCCGCAGTGCCATCTGTGTACCTTTAAGCTGGAGCCTAAACACAGGATCGTGTCTGCTTTGCTGGCAGCCTGGGTGGCTGCCTCCCAGTTCAGAGGCTGCCCCAGGGTCCCCCTCTCCCCGAAGTGCACAATGGTGTCGCGGAGCGGCGCCCCACACTTGTGGCAGGCCCGGCCCGTCTGGTGCCGGTGCAGGGCGGTGCGCTCCGTCACGTCGAACACCCGCACGTACTCCCTGTTGGGAGTGCAGGCCGTGCAGACCTGAGGAGGGAGGGCACGGTGAGTGGGGGCGCTGGCCCCCCCGGCCCCCCGGCCCGGGGACTGCTCACCTCGATGTACATGTTCCCGTGAGAGCTCCGAGATGGCCGAGCGCGGCAGCCCGCTCCGCAGGTGGAGCCCGTCGCAGTTTTGAGACACCCCGTGCTGCCCCTGAGGGGACAGGGCGGCGCTCAGCAGGAAGGGGGGGGGGGGGGCAGGGAGGCAGCAGCAGGCCAGGCAGCGGGACAACCGTCCTGCACCCAGAGCCCCCAAACCAGGGGCAACTCCAACCTGCATGGAGCCTCTAAGGCAAAACCTGAGAAGCAGGCTGGTCCCAGCAGGACTCAGGCCCCCCCCACTCCACCCCGTCCTCCCCCCCCCCCAACAGCTCTGAGGTACGTGGAGCAGCCTGGAGGGTCAATGTTTGCACCGTCCCCCTGCTCTTGGAGAGGAAGTGGGAGGATTAGAGAGAAGCTTAAGCCAGGAGGCTACACCACGGGGTGGGCTGACAGGCAAGGAGGTGGCCCAGGACCCGCGCTGTGGGCACGGCAAGCACACAGCTAGCCACGCGGGGCTCTTACCAGCTTCTGCTCGTGTAAGCGGGCGATGCTCATGTGGGTGAGGGTCGGCTCCGCCTCACTCAGGTCGGCGGCACTGCCAGGTGAGAGGGAAGCGGACGTCAGGCCCCCGCTGCCCCTGCCCCGCTCGGGGAAGGCTGTGCGGGCGCTTACCTCACGCGCCTCCCTTTCTGAAGCAGCGTCCACACTCCGTTCGGACCCCGGTAGTCTGGGATGGAGGCTGCCTGCGGGCTCAGGAGGAGATAAGCCCGTGAGCAGGCACCACCGCGGACACCGACGGCCCCCAAGAGCAGGAAGCAAATGTTGCTCCCAACACGTTCCAGGCCGGCCCTGCACTAGCCTCGACTCCTCCCACAGGGGATGGAGCGTTTCCTAGTCTACACGCCGGACCCAGGTGGAATGGACCGCACGCAGTCCTTCCCTCTGCCTGGGCCCCGCTCCCACCTGGTCCACCTCCTCCTTCCAGACTCCAATGAGCCCTGCTTCCTCTGGGGGCTCCTCCAGCCCAGCTCTGCAGCCACACTGTCCTCCACACTGAGGGGGCAGCTGGTCAGGCCCACCCGTGCCCCAGGTTCTAGCCAGTGCAGAAGAAAGGTGACCGCTAAGCGGGGTCCCTCCTCTATCCCCTCCTGGTGAGGTAAGTACTTTCTGCCCCTCCTCCACAAAGACTGCCAACCTCTCCGGTGAGATAAACACCTATCGAATTTCCCACGTTCCCAGGCCAGTGAAACGGAGCCACGGGACAGGCAGGCAGAGCAGGCGCGCCAGGTCAAGGGGCCCTGGGCGGCTCAGGCTGAATGATCTCCCTTCTGGGGAGCCCCGTCTCCTTCCTGCTCAAGTTCAATCGGCAGCTCTAACTCACGTGGAAAGTGGAACGCTCACAAACGGTGCCGCTCAGAGCACGAGGATGAGCAGCACGTGGACGAGCAGCCCCTTATGGCTCTTTAAGGAGGGACAGGACTGCTTTGAAATAACCTCCTGACGGGAGTCCACAGGGACTGTGGAGGGAGGCGGCCAGCCTGCCCGTGCACCGCCGGCTGTTGGTCAGTTGGTGCAGTCAACGCAGCAGACTCCTTTCTACGGGGCCCCTGCGCTCGTCCCTGTTGGAAGTGTCCTACTCGCCTCTTCGCCCATAAAATCTCACCCTCTTTCAGGGCTGGGACTCGGTGCACCTCCTACAAGAGCCAGGGCGTGTCTGGACTTCTAGTGACCTAACGCGGCCGGCTTCACGGGACAGGCATTCGCTTCTCCGCCTTAGTACTGTCACCCACGGGCTTCTCCCGGA